GCAGTCCCAGAATTCCCTCTTTCTCCCCCAAAGAAGAAGGATGTGTCATTGGAAGAGATCCAGAAGAAGTTGGAAGCAGCAGAAGAGAGACGTAAGGTAAATTTGAAACAGCTTAAGTGAGCTCTGCTCAACTAGTCTGTGCAAGCTGTGTTGGGTTTTTTAATTTACTCATTGCTTCAGACAAGTGATTAGCAGTTTGTGTTATGGTAAATGGAATGTTATTTGAACTTTGGAATCTCTGGGGCTTTTACAAACCTTCTGTTATGGTCTGCAAGGCTATAGCTTTGTTCCCAAAGTGATCTTGAATGGTCGCTTGAAAAACGGGGAGAAATGCTTAGTTGAGAGGGGATGCTCTTTCAAGAAGAAGCTGTTTTTCTTGCCTTTAACATCATAAAAGATTAACTTTCTCCTAGAAAATGTAGTGGTGAATCTGTGATTAGAAGGTTTGCCAAGACGGTGTCTTACTTAATGTAAGATCTTGCTGTTGAGATGTGGCGTAGAGCCCTTGGCTGTGCAGAGGCTTACTAATTGAAGTGCAGCCTCCTGTGTGACCTGAATCACAGTGATTCACCATTCTGAGAAGCAAGAATCTCCTAAGAAACATCTGTTGATGTTAACATAAAGATCCATGTTCTTTTTTCCAGAAAAATTTAATAAGACTTGTGAGTAATGATGGAAACTTAACTTCCCTGGTAGTTTGTAATAGTGAAATATGGGTTATGTGGGTGGAGGAAGCACCAGGGAGCTTTGTCCTGCGTCACGAAGCTATGCTGTTCTCAGTAAAATAGCAGAAAGTCTTTTCTCTCAGGAGTTGTGAGCGACTCGACTGTAGTTGTCTGTGTAGTTCGTCTGTTTTATGTTCAAAGCGTGCATCCTCTGTTTTGTCAGTCTCATGAAGCAGAAGTCTTGAAGCAGCTAGCTGAGAAGCGGGAGCATGAAAAAGAGGTGCTTCAGAAAGCAATTGAAGAAAACAACAACTTCAGCAAAATGGCAGAGGAGAAGCTGACCCACAAAATGGAAGCTAACAAAGAAAACCGTGAGGCACAAATGGCTGCTAAACTGGAACGCTTGAGGGAGAAGGTGGGTGTAGAGTCCCGGTTCCCCTCTGGGAGAGAGTTTATCCATGCTCCTTACCGTGAAACCTGGCTCAATAAAGCCAAGTAAACGGCCACGTGAGGGGGGGGTGCTGTGAATAGACGGACGTCCTTGGGAGTTCTGGGGTGGTCTAATCTTGAAAGATTATTAAATCTGCAAAAGACTTTGCAGGAATCCTCCTCTTGGGGCAGAGGGGAGGGATGGAGTTAGAGTGGTAAGCAAGCCGGGGCTTGCTCTGCCAGCCCGGAGCCCTGCCTCGCTGCGCCTGGGCAGCTAACTGCTTCCCTGCTGTTGTCTTTCAGGACAAGCATATTGAAGAGGTTCGAAAGAACAAAGAAGGCAAAGACCCCGGCGAGGCTGAAACCGACTGACTTCATTCTGGAAACTGACTCTCTCCCCCTCCTCTAAATATCCAAAGACTGTACTGGCCAGTGGTTTTATCTTTGGTTTTGTTTTTTTTTTAAGTTTCTAGAAACTGATGTAGAACTGTAAAATTAGATCCAAACTGTACACTTTCTTTGGGGGCTAGAGGGGAGACCTTACATGTTTCACTTTTTCTAAAGTGTTGTCTTTCCAGTGTAGCTATCTTCTTGTTGCATCCTTTTCTACTCCAGTGCGCTTGCTACTGGGTTGATGGCTAGTACTGTATCAGCTCTGTAAGACGTTTGTGAAAGGAATATGTAGTATACTGTTCCATGCTGAATATCTGTTACACTTCAAAAATCTGACTGTCCCAGTCTGCTAAAATACTGCTGTAACTGAGTGACTAAATAAAGCTGCACAGTGCTGTTATCATGAGAATTACTTCTGAAAAATGACGTCAGAAACAACATCAGTTGGCTGAGGTCTGCAACAGGCATCCTTATCCAGCGCTGGGTGGAAAGGCCTGGAGCAGCACTCTTCCTTACGTCCGTGGGCATGCTGCGTGACTGCCTTTTCCCTAGAGCACTCTCATTGTCTTAATTTTACAATCAGGGCTTTGTTTTGACACCTCAGCGGTTGTCAGCTGCTGTGTGTTTTTTGTTAAAAAGAGTTCAGAACCACCTCGCTTTGGATGTTGACATTTCAACAAACAAGTCCTTGTTACCACATGACTCTGATCTGAGCCTTTATTTTTTTGGTAAGGGTTTCTGGAAGATGACTTGTGCTACTGAATGGTGACTTGTGTACCGCTTCCTGCAGTGTCAGAGCATAAGAGTCAGAAACCTGTTCTGTGCTGGGATTGAAACTGCTGTTGTGGATAAGAATTACTTTTGATTTGGTGTCTGCCGCAGATGCGTTGGGATAGTACGCTGTGCCGCAGGGCGAGTCTGAAGACTAATTCCTGCCCACAACGAGATGCGTATCATCTTTGTTTTTTCTGGGATGTGAGAAATAGATACGACTGTACTTGTGCTCTGAGGAAAGATGCTTTTTAGGTGTATTGCGTAGAGTTGCTGCATTGTATAGGTGCCTTAAACTGAAAGCCTTTCTCTAAGACTAATCCAGAGAGTGTCCTGCACAGCCACAAGTACTCGTGCTACTCTGTGGTAAAGACAAGGTTGCGATCGGCGTGTGTGAACAGCCACCTAACTTCAGCATAAACGGCGTCATGTTCCGAGGTACTCGGCTTTAGTAAGCGCGTTCCCTCGGAGCAGGGAAGCCTTGGGCCGTGGGAAGCCACGGTTCCACGTCAAGCCCTCGGTGGCACTGGTCTCGGTGTGGCACGCTGAGTCCCGTCTTCCCCCCTTTTGTGTCCTTGATCTTGAGGCTTGGCTACCAGGTTTCTTTTGGGGTTAACTCCACACCTGGATCATCTGGCACTGGCTGGGTGACAGACTTCCATATTCTGAGGATGGGAAAGCTGGTAGGGATTTTTTTTTTTTAAAGGGGCTAATTGAGTCCTGGACCACTTGACCTGTCTTCTGGGGCTTGCTAAAGAAGGAACCTCAGTTTAGAAAGCTTTCATGTATCACACTTAACTACTTTTGATTGCATCGGAGTTGTACTTAACCGAAAGTTGATACTACACTGTTTGAATGAAGGAAGAACAGTGAGATAAAGTCAGTCTTGATGCGCTGGAAGGCTGGGATCGGATCCTTTGCCTGAAGGATTTTCAGAAGTGTTATGATACTTCATAATTTAAGGTAAGAGAGACCGTACTTCTACCTGTTGGGAAGCAACCACCCGTCTGCAGTGGAGGAATAGTGCAGGTTTTGGGGTTTTGATGGCATGTGTCAACGCTGTGTAAGCTGAGAGCACGGGGATGCGGGTCGGGATCCACCCGGGGAGGGGAGGAGGACGGGGGAATGCGGAGCTGAACCCCCTACGTGATGCGCTTATGAAGGAAGCCGAGTATCCCTAGTACCACATAATGGAGGTTTAAGTGATCACCGGATCAGTTCCCATATACAAAATCAGGCATAATTAGCAATCAAAAAAAAAATCAGCTCTTTTTGCTTTGATGTATTAAGGTCCGTTTCAAGTGAAAAGACCAAATGTCCCCCATACTGTGTGTGGGTTTTCCCCCCCATCTTTTCAAGGAGTGGGGGAGGAGGATGACAGCACTGCCAAACCCCAAATGGGGTTAAGAGCGCAAAGAGATGTTAAATGTGAGGGTTTTTTGACTTGCCAAAGCTGTCAGATCTCAGCTCGGGGCCTTCTGTTTCCTTGTCCAAGTTCTGCTTTACGCAGCTGCCTGCGTTACGCTCAACTGGAGCTTAATGCCCAGGGCCTGAGCTTAGTCTGGTTCCTCCGAGAGCTGCTGGGGGGGGCGGGATGGAAGTTTTGAGGGGTGGGAATGAGGTTGGGGGGATGCAAACAGCGAGAGGATGCTCGTGATCTGGGAACAGGGTAGGAGGGTGGAAGAAAAGAAAACCCCAGCATGGAGGAGATGGCGCTCGGGCAGGAAAACAGAAGTAACAGTCTCGCTGGTAGGGAAAGCTGGACTATAAACAGCTTGCTTTTTTTAAAAAAACAACAAAAAAAAGACAAAATGAAGACAAAAGCTCCACAGCTTTATTTCCTAGGCTAGACAGCCCGCCATGTGGTAGCAAGTTCCAAAAGCAACTGCAAGCCGTGTTACGGGTGGGGTAAGGGAAACGGGAGAAGTAACAGCTCAAACCGGCTTGTAGACAGAGGGGGGCCGCGCT